TACAGAGATAAAAGCTTGGCTAGGCACGGTGGCTCACACCTGTAATCCTAGCACTTTGGGAGGCCGACGTGGGTGGATCAACTGAGGTCAGGGGTTTTAGACCATCCTGGCCAACATGGCAAAAACCCCTCTCTACTAAAAATACAAAAATTAGCCGGGCATGGTGGTGCATGTCTGTAATCCCAGCTACCTGGGAGGCTGAGGAGAGAGAATCGCTTGAACCTGGGAGGTGGAGGCTGCAGTGAGCCGAGATCGTGCCACTGCACTCAGGTCTGTGCAACGGGAGCAAGACTCCATCTAAAAAAAAAAAAAAGAAGAAGCTAAATAGACACAGAGAGAGAAGAAAGAAGAAAAGGAGTAGAGGCCATGAAGTAGTAGAAGACATGAGTAGCTGAAGTCATGCAGAAGAAGAAGCTATAAGAAGGCAGAATCCAGATATATAGAATTGGACATGAGATGATTAGTTAATAGAAGCAGAAGAAATACAGAAGAAACACAGAGATGTGACTTTGTAAATATTAAGCAAGGGAAAGAGAAGGAAATAAAAGACTTTTGCTACTGATATTAATCAAGCAGTTATGGATTCCAAAGGACTTTCCAGTTCCCAACTACCTTCCAGCTCCACGAAACCTATCTTTTCCTATACTCCCATAGGGCCTGGCCTTGTGGTTAGAATTCTTTCTTAGTTTTACATGAATTATTCCCTTTAGCCCCTACCGCTTTAGGTATCCGAAAGCATCTAGCTAATATACTATGTACAGGAGTTTGGACTTTATTCAGAAGAACACAGAGAATCATTTAAGGGCTTTATGTTTGTATTTCAGAAAGAGAACTCTGGGACCGGTGTAGAAAATAAACTGGAGATGGACTTGAGGCAGACCTCCACTCTCATTGACTTGGTTCAGGCATTATTGTCTCTTACCTGGTTTAAATGCCTGAACCAAGTTAGTGAGAGTGGAGAAAAGTGGGATAAAGTTATGAAGGAGGATGAATCAACAGAACTTGATTCAGCATAGATGTAATGGATGAGAGAGAAGGAAGAGTTAAGTTTGACTCTTACTTTCTTGGTTTGGGCAACCAGATGGATGGTAATGCTTTTCATTGAGAAAGGTAATGTATGAAGAGGATCAACTCCTTTTGGGGGAAGAATATGAGGTGCCAATGAGACTTACAGGTAAAGATGTCCAATAACCAGTTGAATATTCACATCTGGATCTCAGACAAGAGCTCTGTAATTATAAGTGTGTATAAAGGCTTGACGTCATAGCTTTCAGAGATATCAAGACTACGGTTTCTTGTTTTATTCTTACCATGCTAAAGTCAGGAATACACTAAACTAGACTGTGTTAGACTAGGAAAGCTTAGAATAAGTAATTTGTTCATATCTGAATATCCTCTATACTGTATCCTAGCTATCATATTGTGTACTGTATTACTCTGTGATTGATGGGCTACCATGCCTAGGTGAAGTGATCTCTAGAGAATGGGCTATGTATAGGACTAGTCCAGCTTTAGGTATATAAGGCTAGGACTGGAAGAGAAAGTTAGGTTTCCAGAAGGTCTGATGTTGTGCATTCCAGAAGGTCTGGATATTTGGAAGGTTTAGAAACTTGTACTTTCATCTCTGAGCTAATTATTGCAAGTAATTCCTTTATGTATCCTTTAGATAAGTAAACCCAAGTGGTGTCTGTGTGGTGGTATTTCTGTTCATCTGCACCTTCTATTGATAGATATCAACATGGAGGTTATACAGAGTGGTATCAATAGATTGGCAGTAATTTAAGCGATTGGTGTGCATAGGTTCACTAAAGAGAATAAATGAAGAAAACAAGTGAGTGCGGTGGGGAACACAGCAGAGAATAGAATTCTGGGAAACATTAATAACTAAAGAGTAGGTGAAAGAAAAGATTAAGAGGAGAATAAGTAAATGTGATAAAATCAGAGGGTCTGAACAAGTAAAAAGATAGACTGAATAACATTTGTATTTCATCATTAAACTAAGAGCTATTTCAGAATGACAGAGAAATTCTCTTATTACACATAAATACATACTTATTGTTAAATAGATATATTTTCAAAAAGATTCATAACAAGGACTCAAAAAAAGACATGGATTTCCTAATTTTTCAACTAGAAGGTTAAACACCAGGATACAACTCGCTAATAATTCTGTTACAAGTTAATAAAAGACGGCATTAGTCATGACTACAACTTTAAGAGTTCTCTTTTCTACCACCTATTTAAAACATTTACTCAAAACTAATGTGTGCCAGGCATGGTTTACCTACAATATTTCATTTAACCTCACAACTATCCCATGAAGCAGGCACTTTTGTTTTCTATTAAAGCTATGGAGAGGTTAAGTAGTAAAGATTAGTGAAGATTAGAGAGGTTAAATAAGGTGCTAGAGTCACTCAGGCAGTAACCAACAGAGCTCAGATTCAAACTAGAGCTTTCCAACTTCAGAGTCTGAGGCTTAACTACCATGTAATAATGCTCTGAAAGCATTATTTACGGTAATAAAAGGCTAAATTTATCAGGCATTTATTAATGTAATTTTCAATGAAGACAAATTTTATAGCCACAGAGGAGTTTTATACCCACACCAGCACTTACAGGTGTGCTACAATTTTTAAAGCATTTCTTGAGATACTTGAGAACAAAAATATGTATGTGAATGTTTGTTTTTGCTACTAAACAAAAAATTGTTCAGTTCTTTGAAATGCTAACTCTTAACTTTAGCTGATTTCTTAACTTGTAGACTAAAAAGCTATTTTTACCTGTGGTAACTTGCTTGGCTTTGGCATAAAGCCATGCATTGTTTCTGGGGCAGTATAATCTCTCTTGGCATGTGTACATAAAAGGTTATTGTGAATTTATTTTAAAGAAATGTACAGAATACTAGATATAGGTACTTGCTACATCTTTTTTTTTTTTTTTTTTTTTTTTTTTTTTTTTTGAGACAAAGTCTCACTCCCTTGCCCAGGTTGGAGTGCAGTGGCGTGACTTTGGCTCACTGTAATGCCTGCCTCCAGGGTTCAAGCAATTCTCCTGTCTCAGCCTCTTGAGTAGCTGGGACTACTACAATGCTCGGCTAATTTTTGTATTTTTAGTAGAGACAGGATTTCACCATTTTGGTCAGGCTGGTCTTGAACTTCTGACCTCAGGTGATCCACTTGCCTCAGCTTCCCAAAGTGCTGGGATTACAGATGTGAGCTGCCTGGCCACTACATCTTAATTTTAAAATTTGTCTTTTCAAATCATTGTAAATATAGTTTTTAATCAATGAATTCCAATTGCATGTCCTTAACTCTGAATAGAGATGTAAAAGATTCTAAAGATGATTTTGAGTTAATCATGCCAAAGTTACCAATAATAAAAAATCCAAAATAAAAGTTGGCCACCGAGTGAAAGACAGAGAATTTGATTCTAGATCACTAGCCCAATTATTAAAGCATAATTTTTGGCTAGGTGTGGTGGCTCATGCCTGTAATCCCAGCACTTTGGGAGGTCAAGGTGGGTGGATCACTTGAGGTTAGGAGTTCCAGATCAGCCTGGCCAACATGGTGAAACCCCATTTCTACTAAAAATACAAACAAACAAACAAACAAACACAAAAAACAAAAAAAAAGTACCTCATTTTTACCAGCTCCCTGAGACCTCAAGAATAATGTCTGCCATATATTCCATTTGATTTTTTTTTTTTTTTTTTTTTTTTGCTAAATTTACAGGTTTTCAGAAATAAAGCTTATGCCATAGGAGCTGTCAAGTTTCCCAGAAGTTGGGTAATAGGCACAAATGATCAAAATTACTGTCCTGGGCGCTCCCTGCTATTACGTCATCTGCTCCATTTCTCCATCCTTGCTTTGCTTCTTAGCAGAAGGAAAAAAATAAAATAATTTAGTTTACAAGGTATCTCTGTTACAGCCAAACAGTGCTGCCCGTCGACAATCTCATGGCTCACTGTCTTCCATCCTGTAAAGGTGTCATAAGCTCAGCTGTCCGAAGGTGTAGGTTTCTTCATCTCTGCCGTTTCTGGTTTTTCCTCCATCATTTTTCTGCTTTCTGACCAATAGCTGCGAAATGTCTTGGGAGCAAAAGTAGACCAACCTGGATGTTGGAGAAATACAGATGAAGATCTTTCTGTTTGGCCTCACATTTATTTGGCACTTCAGACCTAATGAAGGCTTTTATGTACTGTATCTGTGCCTTATTTGAGCCTCAAAACCTCTGGTTTTATAATAATAGGGTATTCATTCAACAAGTATGTTCTTATTACCTACTATATGCCAGACGCTGTTCTAGGTGCTGGAGATACAACAGGAAACAAATTAAGATTTAAAAGGAAGAAGAAGCGGCCGCCCAACTCTTCCGAAACTCCTCTCTTTTAGCGGGGAGCACCTGCCAGTAAAAAGGCCGGGACAGATCTCACAGCTCCTGGTAGGTGATTGGAGGAATTTTGGCTTTTACTTTGAGTGAGATGGGAAGCCAGCGAAAGGCGTGGAGCAGAGGGTAGTTTCATTTTACGGATTAGGAAAATGAGAGGCTACCCCACGGTAAGTGCACCAGTTGAGCTTAAAGAAAAAAAAAAATTAACAGGAGGTAGCCACTGATTTGGGGCCACTAGTCCAGATATTCGAAATGAAGTGGGAGGAGATACGTTAAGATTAATCCACAGGGAAGCAAATTATTTACATCGAAATACAATTTAACACAAACATACGCAAAGACACATGCCAAGGAGTACTCGGGGCCTGTGTTTAGGCACTTGTTAAAGAAAACGAAGCGAATCCCGATACCGCAAACCCGGTCTTTAGCCTACTTTATGCCGGGGGTGGGGCTAGGGGTGTGGGGAAATCGCTGCCCACCCGGAACCCTGCTTGCCCCGAGCATGGCCACGCCCCCAACACGCCCCGCCGACGGCCTGCCGTCGGGGTTGGCCGCGGCGGTGGCGGAGGCCACGGTGCCCGGAAGTGCAGCTGACGTGTCCCGGCAGCGCTCGGAATTGTGGGCGACTCGACTAATGGCGTCGGCGAGTTTTAGGGGCCTAGGGAGCTGGCGCTGAAGCTTTTTGCCAGCTTGGCTGGTGACACCCGGTGTGGCTGGGCCCGCGGCAGCGGAGGGACCTGCCCGCCTTGTGGGCTCCTCGGCCAGAGTCGGCGGAGCCTAGTGGGGCGGGGTGACTGCGGGGACGCCTCCGAGAGAAGCCGGAGGTGTTGCGGAGAGGCTGCTGGGGAACGCTCGAGCAAGCTCCGGGTTCGCAGCCCAGGGCCCCGCGGAGCCCCTGCAGGGACCAAGAAGCGGACTGCGGAAGGGCCAGAGACGCCGGGAGGGAGCTGCCGGTGGCCCCAAGGAGCTGACAGTGCCGGAGCTTGTTTGTACCTCTCCGAAATTGGTTGGGATCTTGGAGGATCATGTCCGGCACCAGTAGCCCCGAGGCGGTGAAGAAGCTGCTGGAGAATATGCAGAGCGACTTGCGTGCCTTGTCACTGGAGTGCAAGAAGAAATTCCCACCTGTCAAGGAGGTAAGCTTCAGGCAACGTCAGGCGAAGGGACTGTGAGCATGCCTGGTCCTGTTAGATACAGTGCTTCGCCCCAGTTTCCAGTCCTGTGTAATTTTCATTCGGTTCTCCCCTTTCCAGATTTGTGAGTCGGTGGGTTGTTTCACAAGGGCTTTTTATAGTTTCCACTGGAGAGGGCTGGGGCACTTTGATTTTCTCCCCTCTCCTGCCCTCCCCGTTTAGGAGTGAAGTCTCAGTCAGTTAATCCAGCTAGGTATACTGTACACTAGCCTCTTCTGGCCTTTTTCTTATTCGAAACTGGCCAAGCCAAAATTGAAAAACTTAACGTCTGTTTGTTGCTCCCCCAAAGGAATATTTACCTACTGTGTTGAAACCTGTACTCCTCACGTTTACGGCATATCGCTGCATTGGAAACACTTTTCCTTCTGGCATATATCAGTGGAAACACATAGCTCTGTATACATCCTTTAATGTGTTAAACTATTCAGAGCCACCTAATTTATTAGGAATATTAAAGATCCGCAGAATCATGTTAACCCTTGTTATGAGCAGTGCTGTAGTGGGAAGTTGGGCTTGCAGTCAAAGCAAATACAACTGAATTTAAGTTCTAGCAGTAAATTTTAAACTCTCTGAGCTTCAGGGTTTTTTTTTTTGTTTGTTTTCAGCTGTAAAAGAGGGTTAAAGGGTGGTTTTGTATTATGTATGGGAAAGATGTAAGAGGAAAAGGGTATTATTAAAGAGACGCCAGTTAATAATACATGGAAATTAAATTCTTCAAATAGGGGCCGGGCGCGGTGGCTCAAGCCTGTAATCCCAGCACTTTGGGAGGCCGAGGCGGGTGGATCACGAGGTCGAGAGATCTAGACCAACCTGGTCAACATGGTGAAACCCCGTCTCTACTAAAAATACAAAAAATTAGCTGGGCATGGTGGCGCGTGCCTGTAATCCCAGCTACTCAGGAGGCTGAGGCAGAAGAATTGCCTGAACCCAGGAGGCGGAGGTTGCGGTGAGCCGAGATCGCGCCATTGCACTCCAGCCTGGGTAACAAGAGCGAAACTCCGTCTCAAATAAATAAATAAATAAATAAATAAATAAATAAATAAATAAATAAATTCTTCAAATAGTTGTTGAGTTGAAATGCTTAACATTTGGTTACTGTTTGTTTTGTCTCTTAAAATGCCATTTTAATTCGCTAAAAAGAAAAACAACAACAAAAAACAGGGCTGGCGCGGTGGCTCACACCTGTAATCCCCGCACTTTGGGAGGCTGAGGCGGGCGAATCACGAGGTCAGGAGTTTGAGACCAGCCTGGCCAACACAGTGAAACCCCTTCTCTACCAAAAATATAAAAATGAGCTGGGCGTGGTGGCGGGCGCCTGTAATCTCAACTACTCAGGAGGCTGAGGCAGGAGAATCACCTGAACCCGGGAGGCGGAGGTTGCAGTGAGCCGACATCGTGCTACTGTACTTCAGCCTGGGCAACAGAGTGAGACTGAAAAAAAAAAAAAAAAAACCCAAAAAACTACAAAAATAAATAAATAGCCTCTGCTCAGGTTTTTTCTCATTTTTGAAATAGGTCTGCAGTATTATTCTAAAGGTAATTATTTTATTTTTATTTCTATTAAGTGTGGTTTGATTTTCCTGCAGTTTCATTTACTATTTGCCCTAAAAATTCACCAAGGGTTTTCAGATTTGCATACTTATTTAAATGTTGTACCTTTATTATTATGAAGATTCTGTAATTAGAACTTGACCAATAAATTTTGGGTTTTAGGCTTGTGAGGAATATTAACTTTTCTGTAATTGCATTGGTTTTATCAGTCTTCAACAAACTCCATCTTGTATTTCTTTAGTAAATTTTAAGTAGATAAATGGTTTCCAATGATGGAAACCAGATGTGCCACTTTTGGAAAGATGGCTGTTACAAAATGTTTTATTTCACATAGTCAATAGTTTGTTTTGATAATTGATTTTCATTATTTTTTATGTCCTCTGTTGAAAGTTATAACAAGTAAATCCAAAGAATTAGGCTGTTTCAGAGAACTTTAAAGAATTAAGTTTTAATTGTAAGGGAAATGCTCTCATTCAGAAAATTACAAAAAAATATTTTGTAATTTCAGCAATAATTTATAAAACTGACTTCACAGTTCTAATCATTCATACGGAACTGTGGTTCCTCTACAGGCTGTTGTGGTCTAGCTTGGGAATATAATTGCCATTTATTAATTTTTTTTGTTTTTTGTTTTTGGACATAGGGTCTCACTCTGTGGCCCAGGGTAGAGTGCAGTGATGTGATCTACAACCTTGAACTCCCGGCTCAGGTGATTCTCCCACCTCAGCCTCCCAAGTTTTGGGGACAGGTGCATACCACCACGATAGGCTTTTTACACACACACGCACACACGTGCACATGCACACACGCACAATTTTTTTTTTTTTTTTTTTTTTATGGAGTCGGGGTTTCCAGCAGGCTTGTCTCCTGAATTGGGCTTAGGCGATCCACCCAGCTCTGCCTCACAAAGTGCTGGGATTACAGGCGTGAACCACGGTGCTCTGCTGAAAGCTGCTGGAGGATCCCTTGAGCCCAGGCCATCGAGGCTGCAGTGAGCGGTGCTCATGCCACTGTACTCCAGCCTGGGAGACAGACCAAGACCCTGTCGCAAAACAAACTAACAAAAAAGCTTACAAGTTTTTACTTGAACACTGGCTAGAGAGATATTTTGTGATTGCACCTAGTCTTTGAGATAATAACAAAAGTAATTCTTGTAATTATCTCTGATAAATAATTTTGTATATGGTACATGTCTGTAAGAATTAAATGAAAGCTTTTTGATTTCTGAGCCAATGATGGGCACTACTTTAGGAATTGAAAAATGATCTTGACTTTGTCATGGGTTTAAAACAAAGACAGAGCCATTAGCCTAATTATGATGATGTTTTAGGACAGACCTTAGATTTTCAAGAAATATTTTGGCTGAATTAAATTTTCCCTGTTAACTTAATGGGAGTGCCAAGTTTTGGCTTTTGTTCTTCAAGAAACTACTGGTAAGAGTTTGGTTTTATTTTTCTCTTTGGATGCTAAATAAACTTTAAGGCAAAGTCTAAGAAACGATTCCATCTATAGACTGGTTTGCTAGTTAACACTCTCCCAGTGTCTTCACAGGCGTTATCTGGAATATACTCATTCCGAACTATTTAAAGGCTACTTAATGTAATACAGTTCTAATTACATATGTGCTTTGGAACGTATGTCTCCTTCCCCAGTCCTTTTAAAAAAAGGTAGCATGAAATGAGACATTTTATATTTAGTCTTTATTTCAAATTTTTAGTTATTTCCACCTTTTATGGCCATAGAGCTTGGCTATTATTTTATTTATGTATTTATGTATGTATGTATTTTGAGACAGGATCTAACTTTCACCTAGGCGGGAAGTGCAGTGGCAGGATCTTGGCTCACTGCAGCCTTGACCTCCTAGACTCAAGTGATTCTCTCACCTCAGCCTCCTGAGTAGCTGGGGCTACAGGTGCATGCCACTATACACTGCTGATTTTTGTATTTTTTTTGTAGAGACAGGGTCTCACCATGTTGCCCAGGCTGGTCTCCAACTCCTGTGATCAAGCAGTCTGTCCACCTTGGCCTCCCAGAGTGCTAGGATTATAGGCGTATCCCCAGGCTAGCCATGTAATTCTTCTTTAAAATTAATAATAAGTTGGATTTAAAGATTTCAAATCTGTTAGAAAATGAATGAAAGAGTATTGATAAAGGATAGTGCCTTATTTACTGACATTTACTTACTGTCTTTCGATTTCTACATAGGTTTTTTACCGTACTTTTTTTTTTTTTTTTTTTTGAGACGGAGTTTCACTCTTGTTACCCAAGCTGGAGTGCAATGGCATGATCTCAGCTCACCACAACCTCCACCTCCTGGGTTCGGGCAATTCTCCTGCCTCAGCCTCCTGAGTAGCTGGGATTACAGGCACGTGCCACCATGCCCAGCTAATTTTTTGTATTTTTAGTAGAGACGGGGTTTCACCATGTTGACCAGGATGGTCTCGATTTCTTGACCTCGTGATCCACCCACCTTGGCCTCCCAAAGTGCTGGGATTACAGCCGTGAGCCACCGTGCCTGGCCCTACCGTACTATTTTCATTTATTACTCTATCCTTTGTATATTAAATTGTTGTTGTAGTGGTTATGATTTTATTCTGTCATTTTATAATAAAAGTAGTGATTAGATTATTGCTGATATTATCAGCAATAAACCTCTTCCTCTTTTTTTCTATTTTTCTTAGTTCTTACATATAAATCTTCATATTTTAGCAGCATAACTTTTTTAGTACAACTGTACTACCCAATTTGGGAATATTTGTATGAAATTTTTTTCTTTGCCTTAAAAATTACTTTGAAGCATTCTATAATCAGTTCTATGTAATTGATATTCAGTGGTCTTCAGAGGAAGAGGCCTCTGAAGCCTTATAAGAACTTTTTGATTATTTCCTATTTGCAGGCACAGCTGTGGGAGATCTCACACTGGAAGTTGGAGGAGGGGTGTCACTCCTAGCAGAGGAAATAGCACATGTTGTTAGTATTCCATGTAAAATAATTTTTTTTATTTTTGAGACAGAGTTTTACTCTTATCGACCAGGCTGGAGTACAGTGGCATGGTCTCCGCTCACTGCATCCTCCGCCTTCCGGGTTCAAGTAATTCTTCTGCTTCAGCCTCCCAAGCATTGGAATTATAGGCACTCACCACCACGCCCAGCTAATTTTTGTTTTGTTTAGTGGAGATGGGGTTTTACCATTTTGGCCAGGCTGCCGGTCTTGAACCCCTTACCTCAGGTGATCCACTCACCTAGGCCTTCCAAAGTGCTGAGGTTATAGGCCTGAGGTACTGTACCCAGCTCGTGAAATAAATTTTATACTGAAGATGACTGGAACTATTAGAACTTTTTTTTTCTTTTTTGAGACAGAGTCTTGTTCTGTCACCAGGCTGGAGTGCAGTG